CCGTGGTCTTGAGCACGCACGCACACGCGCCCCCCGTGAGCTTAAGCCACCAGGTCCGGGACTCAAACCACGGTCGACTACGTGGGAGTCCAGCGACATAGCCATTAAGCCAACTGCTGGTCCCTGAAACAAGTGATTTTTTTCCTTCTTTTTCTTTTTTAAGAGTTTTTGTCTTAGGACATTTGGGCTCGCTAGAGAGAGAGAGGGAGAGAAACAGTAAGAGGGAAAGTGAGAAATCACCCCCATGAGGAGATGGCCATGCCACATTCCCTTCTTCTCCATTCTCCTGGGATTTGAGGTACACATGTAACAAATCTGGTGTGATTTTCAAGCCACTGAGTCTGGGACTCAAACTGCCATCAGTCATGTGGGAGTCCAGTGACATAACCACTATGACATCTGCTTGTCCCAAAATGAGTGACAATCTTACCATATTGTCTTGTCTGTAAAGTGAACTGCCCATGCGAGTTGATTTCTAAGCAGAGACAGAACTTAAAATTTATGGTTTATCTTACATTGATCTTGCTAACAAAATATCTATTTTTTAATTATTATTTATTTTGTTTAATTCCACTTATTATTATTATTTTAACTTGATCGGACAGAGACAGAAAGAGAGAGAAAGGGAAAGCGAGAGAGCAAGTCTCCTGGTTTGGGACTCAAACCATAGTCGACCATGTGGGAATCCAGCACCTTTAACCATTACTCTATTTGCTGGCCCCACAAAATATCTATTCTTATAGTATAGATCAGCAGGACAATATTGATACTACATATTTTCATAGTACTTTGAAGAATAATTTCAGTGATATTCTGCAGGATAATACAGGTTTTTACCAGTTTGATGCCAAGTTCAGGGAGTTTGTTAGTCATTACTTTATACCATAGAAAGCATTTTTATGTTTGTATACTGCCTGTGACCCTGAATGCTCTTGAGTTGAGTCAAATAACTCTAAAAAGAATTGCAATCACTGGGGCCCTCAGGTAATGTGATGATTAAAGGCACTGGATTCCTACATGGTCAACCCTGGTTTGAGTCTTGGACCTGGCAACTTGCTTTCTCACTTTCCCTTTCTCTCTTTGTCTCTCTCAGGTCCAATTAGGAATAAGGAATGGGCATGCAGCAATATCTTCTTCTCCATTTCTCCCTCCTTCTGAGAGTTTTAGACACACACACACACACACACACACACACACACACACACACATGCTTTGGAAGCTTCTGGAGCCAGGACTACACTATGCAGCAGGCCACGCAAGATTTAACTGTCTTAAATATCATGGACTTTTCCTCATTCTTATCTTTAAGACTGTGTGACCATGAGAAAGTAACAAAAAATACCTCAGACCCTGGCCAAAAGAATAGTTGGACGGGTGTAACACTAAAGTGCATTACGACTCTGTAATCCAATTGGAATTTCAGTCCGTGTTGAAGGCACACTGTCTTTCCTTGGCTCTTTCACTTATCCATTAACACATGGTTTTTGCCATTGTATATAAATACAGAAAACAGAAAAAGTGAAGCAACAGGAAACCTGGGAAAGCTGATTGATATTTTTCAGGGATGGTGAAAATGGAATTATTTCCCCTCGTTAATCATAAGAATCTGCCATTGAAAAGGAAACAAAAATCTTTATTTTGCAACCTAATGTCTAAGTTAATTTTTATATACTTATTTGTTTACAATATAGTGAAAAGTGAAAAAATGATTAGTATTTCAATATTATATAGATTCTCTATGCAATAATATATTTCAGTTATGAAGAATGCATTCCTTTCATTATTTTCAGGCCACCAGGTCCAGGACTCAAACTGTGATTAGCCATGTGGGAATCTTGCACTTCAAACATACCACCACCTGCTGCCTCCCCTTTCATTATTTTGATCATGTGATGTTTACTTTCCAGTGAACACTTTCCAAATCACCACACTCTATAGCAGTCACAAAGGATACTATTTTGTAACACATTTTCTACTTATATCAAAATACATATCACCAAAAAATTTCACCTATAGATCTTCTATTTAACAGAGAACTGTTTAAGGCTCACGATCCTTCTTTGTTTATTTTTTCTCACTTGAAAAAAGAAATGACCAGGGGGCATATGTGAGAAATAGAGAGAGAAATTAAAAAAGTAAACCCATCCACCTATAAGGAATGATCATACAGCAATATCTTGTTATTTCTAAAATGCTAGAATAGGATAAAACAGTTCTCAATTTTCATTACTATTAATACTGGTTACTTTTAATGATCCTTCATTTCACATTGAGGATGGTCAATTTAAAGTGCTATTTATTTAATTAGGGATTTTTGCTATATGGCACATGTGCTCACCAGAGACAAAGAGAGAAAGTGAGAAATAAATTCCTCACACCCCCAGGGTTGATGGCCATGCCACAAT